CTTGCAGCTCTGCAGAAAAACATGCTTGGGGTAAATTAAAAATGGCATTACTGCATAGTTTGTCCAGCAGAGTGCACCTCAACTCCATTGTTTACAAAACTCTCTGTCTGCAGCACATGTAGCAGAGTACACAGCGGAGCAGATTGTGGTGCGGAGTCAAGTAGTGTAAGCTTTATGGTAAGCTCCCACCTACTAATGTGCTTGATGTATATATGTAAGGAACATCAGCTGATATATCAATACTGGAACTTTTTACTTGCGAAATCAGCCCCAGAAACCCAGTATCATTTGGCTTCCACTACAACAGTGTCAGACAGATGAAGTTAAATCTGTGACACTCAGCGACAGACAGACAAACAGGCGTCTCTAGTCTAACTAACAAGAGTCAGTATTCTAATCAAATTACAGCAAAGTGGTTGAGACAGACATTTGATCTGACCGCAAACTCAAATGCCCCCGACTCGTTCGTTCACTCACTCTCACACACACAGATAGAATGACACATATATGGTATCAGGCAAGTCAAACAAGGTAAAGTAGGGGCTTTATCATGACCTATCAGTGTTTTAGCCAAAACAACACTTTTGCTCTTTTTTCTTCAAGGCCTTGAACCAAAACCTGCAACATTTAAGCATCTTTAAAATTACTTCACACTTACAAGTTTAAGTTTCGAGTGGCAAAGCGTGCAGGCAAAGTTGCATGACTCAAAGCTTTATGAGTTATTTTCAAGTGTACAGTGGGTGGGGATTGGGTGTGAGGGCTCTGGTGAAGTTGAGGTCACAATGAGGGTAATCATAGTCTGGTTAAATGAAAGCTGTTACATGTTTGTCTGCTTGGGCAGCAATGACTCTCCAGGGGTTCAGGCTTTACTTCCTGGAAATTGTACTTGTCGCTATGCAGTGTACACCATGGTATGCTCCCGCCTGACAGCTGCAGCTATATGCATTAGTGATCTATTTATCTAATTTTTTCATTATCAAGCTTTTCCTATTGTTGATACAAATTTAGCTGAGCTGACACCATAAAAATAACTTTAACCTTCCATTTGAGGGTATGGAGAGTTAGAAGTGAAAGTTGAAGAAGCTAATTTGAGGCGAGAAAGGCACTACGTTGGCTGTCACAACAGTTAGCGTTGTAAAAAAAGTGAATATTCTAACTTTGTCTAGATGAATGGCTCACTGTGGCTCTCGTAAATTACACTTGGCTCTGCAGAGGGAAATGTATCCGCACTGAATGACACACATGCACCGTGGCTCAATCCTGGTGCTGCAAATTCTTCTGCCTCGTTCTCGCGCCACACTAGACTTGGTTTAATGGCTTGCTTAAGGGCACCTGGACTGTGGTTACATGCATTGTGGTTATGGGAGCTTAAGGAGCGTTTCTCTGACAGCATCTGGCCAGATTTTTCCTAAACATACCATGGAACAAAACAAGAGATCTGCCACTCATTTTAAAACCAGACTGCTCTCTGACAAAACTCACTCTCTCTCTCTTAGCAGCAGACAGTTTACATTGCAGGCAGATATCAGGGACTCCACTCCTGAAAATTAACACCCGTAATCTGCTTCAACACACAAACACACACACACCATTCTGCAGACTGGCAGCACAACAGGGAAATTACCACCCTGCACCAGACAAGTGCTAAAATAAATGTCTTGCAGTAGGTTTGTCTGCTGTACCAGCCTCTCTGGCAGAAAACCAAACCACAGGTTGGAGGTCCTGCTATAAAAAAACAAACCACTGGTGGTTGTTGTTTAAGCTGTGTAGCTTTGACAAACACTCTTATGTCCACCTGTAGGCAGCGAGCAATACCTAATGTATGCAAGGACATGAAGAGAGCTACATTTATAACTCTTACTAGGAAGGAAATGTTACTGTAGGAGACTTTATCATTCTATAGGGAGTTAAAACGGAGGAATTGTTTATTTTAAAGCAATAAAAGGCGGTTCTTCTAAGGGAATAGCTTAGTTTTGCTAACTGACAACATGACAGTGCCTCTTTCCCAAGTTTGTCAGAGTAAATTCCATTTCATACTCACTTTTCGGCCGTCTCCTTCGTCTCCCTTTCAATGCAAGCGTTCCGTGAGTGAACAAAGGCAGAAATAAGTGCGGTGTGTCGGTGTTTTCAGGTGGTGAATCCTCCTCCTCCTCTCACCTCCGTCACCGGCTCCTTCCTCCGCGGCGGTAACAGCGATCCCGATATCTGCGCGTGAGCTGCTGCTGCGAGCTGTCAGAGTCTGCGCGAGACAGAGAGAGAGAGAGAGAGAGAGAGAGAGAGAGAGAGAGAGAGGAGGTTTATCATGTGTTTGTGTGAAGTGTTAAAGTACACATCACACTAGAAAAGATAGATTATCTTCAGGGACATATGACGGATGGTGCCAGTGCTGGAAAGTAATCAGAATGAGAATTGCTTTATTGATCCCAGAGGGGAAACTGCTTAAGTTACAGCTGCTCCATTCAAGTCAAACATATAGAGAAACATAAGTACAACATTTGAACTAAAATATGAATATGAGTAGAAAAAAAACACGCCCTGAAATATAAACATCAGTAGACAGTATAACTGCAAAATGTGCATTTCCCAACAAACAAGTGTAATAAGTGGTAATAAATAGCATGTTATTGCACATGATATTGCACCAAGTTATTGCGCATTATTGGGGTGAAGTGAACTGAGGTATTAGTTAACTGCTTCCATTTAACAACATAATGAATCCAGTCCACTGACTCAGACAGTCTGACCCTCAGAGTGAGGAGTCAAACAGTCTGATGGCCAATGAGTTCCTGTGGCGCTCTGTGGAGCATCTTGGTGGGATGAGACTATGACTGGGCACATTTATGAGATGCATTTTAAATAATCCCACATCGTGCCTCTTTTCAGCAAATCAACCCAAGTCTCAATCTGTCTTTGAATTTTCAGCTCAAGTTACCTCAAAGATGGTTCATTTGACCATGACTGTACAACTTCTGTTTTTAGTCTAGTCAGGCTGTTTGGCATCTGTAGCTGTAAAGACATGCCCTCTTCAGGAAGAAGAATCTCTCTACAATTGTGACTGATAGAAAAATGAGCCGTCCTCTACCAGAGTTTTATATATATACACACACACTTGTGCAAGACGCTGCAATGTACATGACATAACTGCATGGAGGACTGTGGGTCAGAATGGCCAGAGTAGCATACTGGCTTGCATACTTTAACATTTGACCGGATGTAGCAGGACATCTGGGTATTTCTAACATAGTACGTTTCACACACTTTGTATTGGGACATACTAAATCTTTTTCTGGGATAGTATGGAAGTATTAATATTGGAACATAGCCTCTCTCTGAGTCACTGACAACACAGAGATGAATGTGTGAGACCAGCACTGTCTATTGCTTCCAACTTTCTCTTTGATCATTTTACATGGAAATATCAGTAAAGCTTGTGTTTGGTGAGTTTGTCAGATAACATTGCAGTTACAAAATCAGTATTTTAGTAGAGCAGAGCAGCAGGTTGGAAATGGCTCTGAAGTGACTGCTGGTTAGCACGTAGTCCTAATGGGATGCGTTTCAGTCACTATTCCATATGTGTTCTGGTGTCTGACAACAGAACAGATAAATATATGTAAATGAGGCCAGCCTTATTAGGAATTTAGCTGTATTAAAATGCAGTTGAACCCAGAGAGCAGAAGAGAGAGAAGCAAACCGATTTAATCCACCCAGTCCTTGTTTACTGGTTTCAAATTGGTGTTAAAGTTCAGGCCTTCGCTGAATGTCTCTCAACTTTACTGAACTCTACCTGTGGACATGTGATCAAAGCTAACAATAATGTTAGCCACACAACACTAAGGATCATGTTGTTGGACACATCTGTCTGAAATGATTCCTTATAGGACAAATGGTGGAGTTGTAGACATTCAGGTGTCTGGCTACGGCCTGAACTGACCTGCCAGAATCCAGTATGCCAAGAGCCTGTTCTCATCTTTCTCTTGTCATCTGTGGCATCTTGTCATTTAAATAAAGCTGCATTTTAAGGTGGACTTTAATAGTCACTGGTCAAAGGAGTGCCTGTGTGCTGGTCACACAATGTGATCTTTGTCCTTTCAGGGCACACCTGACTGGGGTGTGAATAACTCAGTGGTCAATAATTTGTCACCAGTTGTACAGCTTAAAAAGCTTTTGTGCACAATAGTTATACCATAAGAATAGAAATTAGATTTTTAAAGGTTCCTTTAAGTGAGAGAAGAAGAACATTTGCACAATGTTCTTATATTTTTGTTCAGTGTATGATACAATCACTAAAGCTTTGGTAAATTTATCCCCCCCAAAATAAATTTATAAGCATTTTTTCCCTAATGTTAGGTTTGTGCACAGTTTCACAGCAACAGCATGACTGGTTGAATGTTTTCTAGTTTTGCTGTAGCAAAGCAGATTATTGACTTTTGAACGGAGGACATGTGTCATATAACCTCCATCTTTGCCGTCACTGAAATCTCCCATAGATTTCTCTTCAGGATTCTTTAAGTAAAGTCCCTTCCTTAAGGAGTCTATGCTGTTTACTCAGTAAAATGGTCATTTATTGTCCTGGAATTTATATGAACAAAGGAAACATGTCATAAGGTCCAGCTGGATTTGGAACCGATTTTTCATCAGTTGTGAATAACTCTGGAAAGAACCAAGTCTTTGGCCTCAGGATTCATCCTCTGCAGACCATGAAGGAAGGAAGGAAGGAAGGAAGGAAGGAAGGAAGGAAGGAAGGAAGAAAAAATGAAAAAGAAAGTAAGAAAGAAAGAAAGAAAGAAAGGGAATGTGGCTTTTTTTTATTGCAGCTTTGTCAGCAGGTTAAAACATTGGACTCCCATCATGTTTAATTCATGGTGAAATAATTCACAGCCAAACCAATACAACTGCAGCCCACTAAAAACATTGGACATTACACTGAGTGCTTTTACTGCCAATAAAGAAGGCCACTCAGCAGCTACCTTGGCTTCTGTGTGTGTTTGTGCATGTGTTTGTGCGACTTCAGAGCCACCTTGCGCTGCACATGTGATTAGCTCCGTCTGGGCCCATTAGCAGCACACAGTATTTAATGTACAGATCTCTGCATTAACCACAGAGCTCAGCGAGTCACAAACTGCAACCTGCCTGCAGAGACTGCACACGTGTCCAGCTCTACTGCTCAGCAGTGCATCAAACACACAAACCTTTAGCTCTCCACCTCACCCATCCCTCCCCCCTGTAATAAGGAACAGGTTTATAGCAGCAAAGTCAACTGGTCAAGGCCAGATTGCTTCTTTAAAGTACTTAGGAGCATGAAACACCTCCCACACACACGCAGAAACTGCAGCACCTGCAAAATCACAGCTTGCCCAGGGTTCACTAATCACTTAACATTATCTAAACACTTAAACACATCACGCTGGCACAGATACTGCAGACATAACTTTAATGCTGCCACTCTACATATCAACCAGTGTCTAGACCCCAGAGGGTTTGATCAACCACATGTGACCACCGAAACCTGCAGTAGATAAGCAGTGTAGGTTGTGTTTGGTGCTAGTGAGTGTGTTAAAGGGCATCTTCTCACCAGGCAGCCTCATGACTTAAAGAGAAACCTGCTAACTAGTGTGGACATGTGTTTGGATAATGTGTGTGTAAGTGCGTTCTTTGATAGCAGGAAATACAGGATTAACTTGCGTTGCTTCTGTAGCTGAAAACTCCATCGTGTTTAGCATCAACATAAGATGAAAGTGTCATTCCTTATTTTCTAATGACATAAAAGTGATATTTTGCCTTTTATTAGTGTTAATTATGGTGACTGAACTATTTGGATGCATGCTATTTCAACTCAACAAAGGTTCAAGGTCATCCCCTAAAGGTGAACCAGACAGTTCATGTGCATACTACTGCTCATTTATTCCTTCACTATAGCGGCAGTACAACAGTTTTTCTGTTTCTCTTTCTCAACCTCTGTCTGGTTTCTGATATAGTTTATGGCTTTCATTTCACACTTTCACAGCACACATTGAGGTTGATCTTTCAAAGGAAGCTGCAGGTTAAAAAAACCACAAAGCACAACACAAGAGCATGCAACCTCGTGCAGGATTGCATGAAATGCACTCTATTTATTTTTATACGAACACACTAAAAGTTTCTCACCAATTTGTAATTCTTGCATGGTTGTAGGTGTGAAAGTTGTGGGCTTCAGGATGGGATGCTCTCACGCCTCCTTGGTTTGCATTTCATTTCCTCCCTCTCACAGATAAACGCCTCTCTCTCTCTATAAAAACTAGTTTCAGGTGATTTCATACTCTAAGAGCAGTTACAACTTCCCCTTCCTGGTAGCCGTTACTATGGCAAGCAGACTGAGAAATGTTTAAAAAGCTGGATCTTTTAGGAGAAGGAAAACATTTAGACAGCTTTTTATACAAAATCTACTTGTTTTTTTTACTTCTTCATTGCATCGCTCACTTTTACTTTTGGATGACTATACTATGATGCTAAAGAAGTCTAGAGAAACTCCTGCTCAACTTTTGTGATTTTGCCTTTTAAAAAAGAAACTACATCCCTATAAATGCTATGAAAGAGCAAAAAAAAAAAAAAGAAAAAGCACATATATATATATATAACTCTGACGCTGACGTTCGTCTGTATAGAGGTAGACAGTGTTTGTTTTTGTCCAGCTACAGGCGGTCTCCCTCAGTCTATTTAAACACACCAACCCAACGAAGGCTGACACAAACAAACACACACAGGGCTGACTGGTTCGAGACCGCATGCGGATAGGAAAAGCATTTAAAAGCACAGGTGGACTGAATGTACTGAAATACACAGACACACTCCCTGTCTGCAGACCAACTGCTGCACCATTTAAAACTCGGTGCCATGTTAATCTGTGCTGTGTAAACAGATGAGGGGAGAGGGGGAGCTGTTCTCAGGCCAAAGGAAACAGCAGCAGGAACTTGTAATGACTCCACTTATGAGCCCACATCACCCAGCGCAGACCTGCAGCCGCTGCTTACACAGCTACACGATTACACTAAACACAGCCAGCTTGCAAAATCACTGCTAGTGCATCGGGGAAAAATGGGATTTTCTAGTTCCAAACCTACATACGGCATCTATAAGAAAAAAAAAAACAGTATTCCTCGCCCTTGGACATTTTTGCTTTTCATTGCTCGTCTCCATTGAA